ATGTTTTATCTCGACTATTTTGTCTGCCTTTGGCATTTTTCGGTGAGGAATTCTTCGTTGTTTGGGCTTGAATTCTTCGGTATAAACTCGGTCCGACGGAGGTCGTATAAGCAGCAAATAGAGGAGATACCAATACACTCCAATAACAATCAACAGCAGGCCTGTTGTAGTAGCTAGAATCGATGAATCAGCCGTGTGAGACTGCCAGAAGTGGCCATTGTCCAGATTTTCAGTCTGTAAAATGTAGTTGGCACTCTTACTTGGCTCCAGATTCAGGATTATCAACAGCAAACTCCACACACTCGAGATCAAGAAAATCAAAGTCATGAGAATAACGTATCCCCACCCGATAACAGCAAAGCGACGGCGCCGCCATCTCCACCACGACAAACGATCAGATTCCACAGACTCAACGTCGGAAGGTCCTCTCTTAGTGTCGGGATTTTCCATTGTTGCATTGTCTTGAGCAGGGTCTGGAGCTGCTTTCCAGTCTTTTGAAAAAATCCGTACCATGCGATGCCAAGCTGTCAGAGACTTCACAGTAAGCCCAGCTTGCTAAAAAAAAAAGTGGCAGCCATTATTAGCAACGAAACGCTCACTGGATTAATAAAAAGATATTGATGCTAAAAAGAATATATATAAAAGTGGCAGCGAAGGCTCACTGGATTAATAAAAAGAATATTGAAGCAAAAAAAAAATCTTGTTTATGGTCAATTGCACTCTGCAGTCAAGTTTCAGAGTTTAGAGACGATCTCTGTAGTTTCCTCCAGCACTCTTACCATTCGCAGGACTCAGCAGCGGAGAAGAAGCCGTAAACAACGGTTTAGGTTGACCAGTGTTAGCAACCGACACGGTGTCTTGAGTGGGAGATGCTTGTTTGGGCTTGTTGATGACCACAGGACGATCGACTTCTTCTTCTACTTGAGGTTTGTAGCTTGGTTCAGACTTGGTAGCTTGGTTTTCGTCGATCGCCGGAGTGCACGGCTCTTGTTGCGAGTCTTGCTTGGTTTTGTAGCAGCTGGAAATGTTCCCCATAGTTGGTCGTCGTTTAGTAGCTTTGCTTGATTTGGAGATAATTGCGTTGTGAGGAAAACATTGTGCAGAGAAGAGAAAGATCCACCTGGAATTTTCGTGGACTACTGAAAGGAAGAACATGACTTGAATGTCAAAATCAGTTTTTATTCTGATGGATCGACGCTTTCAGATTTGGTAGCAACCAGATTAGCAACTAAATTCTGTAGTGTCTGTACCTGCTGCTTCAGTTGGTCGATCTCAAGTGACTGTCGATCAATCTGGATCTTCATCGCGTTTACCTTGTCGGACGTATCGTCACTTTGTTCCGCTTTTTCATGCAATCCCAACTTCAAAGACACGAGTTAGCTCAAGAAACACAAGAAACACAAGAAACAAGTAAAACTCTAACAAAAATCTCAGCATACCTGGAAGCGAACGACGTTCTTCTCGTTAGTTTTGTCTGCTGGTTCACTGCAGATTTTGTTGCGCCAGAGGTGGCCGATGGCTTCATCTTGCACTGCACAAACCTGCTGAAGCTGCTTCACGTCACGCGAGCATCGTATCATTCCACGGGCAATGGTATACCATCTGGAGTTGAGTCGCTGAGGATTTGATAGGGCTTTCTGGTTCCACGCATCCTGCAGGATTTTCTGTCGATCGCGTAGATTTTTTCTCCAAGCACGTTGGATTTTGCAAGCAGCAATGTGTTGTCGCTTGAATCGAACAATACGTCGTCGGATAATGAATCCACGAGCGAGACGCTGGATAATCTGATCGCTGGTATTTTCTAGATGAGCTTGAGCACCACCTCTACGATTCATAAGCGTGGAAGAGCAGTGGCAAAAGCTGTACTGGTCTTGACGGCGGTTTCTGGAGCGTAGAACTCGTTGTCGCATTCGAAATTTCCTTTGAACTCGTCGGATCCATCGCTGTATCTTCCTCGCAGATGCATCACGCACCATTTTCTCGCGTTTTATCCAAATCTACGCAGGGAAATCTGTAAGAAAATCTGAAAATATGAAGGAAAAATCTGAAGCTTTACCTTCATGTATTTGCGCATCGTAGTCACTTGGTCGGTGAGTTTCTTCACAAGTGCCTCACACTCGC